ATATCATTTGAAAGATTATTAAATGGCCAAGTTTTTCATGCATTTGAACACTGCATAGATGTAGGTTTATGTATTGAAGTGGGGTCGTAAAAGTTTACGTAATTAATTACTGTAATGTAATTTTTACTTTATTTTGGATATGAAGCGGACTATGTAACGGTATAATTGTTGCATGAAACCTTTGATTTATAGCAAATTTAATATTCTTTCCAATGATTTTAACTATAACTCTCTAAAGTAATTGGTTTTGTTTTTATTGAAAAAATTGTGGGGCAAAGTCTAATAAAAAAAGAAAACACAAACCTCCCTATTACAGCCAAACGGTACAAAATCAGACATAGCTTTAAAGGTACTTTTTTGTTCCTTTTAGTGAGTAGAACCTACTGGCGAAGTTAACACGCTCAGTAGAAACTCACCCTGTATATGACTATTTCTATTCTGAAATTTAATTTATTCTTCTGAAATTCAATTGATGTTTTCTGAAATAAAAGTTGCTAGTCTGGAATGCAAATGATACTTTCTGAAATAAAAATGAAAATTCTGAAATACAATTAACGCTTTCAGAAATAATCTTGACACTTTCTGAAAAAAAATTATAAAATGTGTAGCTTGTTATTCATGAAGTAACCTGGGAGAGTATATCCTGTGTTTTTTCCTGAAAAACCAATAGGGATAGAATAATTTTTTCAAATTGAATTGTATGCCTTTTAAGCTTATTTAAATAGAAGGAACAATCTTGAGTTTTCTTTTTAAGATTTGGGTAAAAAAACCTGAATACATACGGATTTTTTAGGGTACATTTTTATATTTAATTTCTACTTTCAATAAGCATAGGGTCCATACCACCAAAAATTCTCAAATTGCACTGAAATACATAATATATATTACTTACTTAATAATCTATAATATTAAAACGAAACAGTGTTGTTTTATTTCACGATTCTGAATCAACCACTCAACAGATTTTCATGATTTTTGTGTTGAAAGAAAGATAATTTTGAGAACTAGGGAATGTCGAAGCCATAATTTTAGTTTAGGGTCCCAGTTTTTTAGAAATTAAGTTTTAATTTTTAAAAAGTCTAGCAGCCGACGCTAAGATTCTAAACTAGCTTTTGGCATAAAATAATTTGCTTAACATAACAGCTGTAAACATTCAGCTTTTGTGTCACAAATTTAGCATTTGGATAAAAATGTAAAGACATACTTAGGGTTGATTTCTTTATACTATGTGTAATGATAATCATTATTACGTTCAATTCTTCTGTAAGAGGATGACAGATTAATTAAATATACATAGTAAAATACTACGATGTTCAAATTATTTTTTAAAGCAATCTTTGTAATCTTCGATTTGTTTTAGAGAAATATAATTTGTTTTAACTAACAACTGGTTAAATATTAACTATAGAACTATGAGGTTATTTTATTTACTCTTATTTTGTCATTGATTTTAGGAAATAAGTAAGATTAGTAGAACACAGTTTAAAATACTATAGACCAAAATTAATTAAACCACAGTACAAATCGAGGCTCTGTACACGAGTCTTAATAAAAAAGGATAAATGCAAATTATTTTACTGCTCCACTTTTCAAGGAAAGAATAGAAAAATAACAATGTTTACATGTTTTAAATTCTTCATTGTAGCTTTTTGTTTACAATTCATGTTTGTCTGCTTTAACTTTGTTTGGATTAGGCCCGGAAATATTGATGTCATAAAAAAAAGATCAAGAATAATCAGGAATCACGATTTTAAATTACCACCACAACCTCAGCCGGGTTTTATACAAAGATAAACAGATGATGACATAGATTGAACACAACGTCAACATTGACCTAGGATACTGCAATAATTAGACAAACCATCCTTTTATGAAATCGTGTTCAGTTGTGGTTACGTTTGGGGGTGCCTATATCAGCGCCCCCAAACGTGAAAATATAACTTTTATCTAACTATGAATTATTATTCAACTATGAATATATTGTAGTTTAAATTAACTAATATGGGAAATTATGATGTACATTTATTCAATGAGGGTGGGTAATTATCAAGGATAGAACTGATAATGGTATGGATAATAAACATTGACAATTACGTTATTAGCTTTACTATAGTTCGGCCGCTTAGAAAACGACCTGCGCGCTAATGCTAAACCAATGCTGGAGGAGGTCGTTTTCTAAGCGGCCGACCTATAGCGTGTTTACTTTTTATATTCCTGCTACATGTGACCAAATGAATGTTCAAATGAATGTTATTTGAACCAAACAGCTGTTTCAAAACAAACTGTTATTGTTTTTACTTTTCTTTGTTTACACTTATTTATTTAGCAATTAATGCAGTGAAATTTATAAAAAGGATAGGTGTGACGATTAGTTTTGATTTTAGGACACCAGAGTTAAATTATGTGTACTGTGAATTTTATTGGATAGTATCGTTTTATTTTAGGTCGTTTCTATTCAGACCTACTGGAAATTGTGTATAGTAGTTGTGTTGTGGGGATAATAACAACTATGGAAGAGGCAGGTATGCTATGGAAGGTGGTATCGTTGACTAGGTCTACACAACTATACACTTCTCAATTGACTGTTACTCTCTCTACTGTAGGCTACTTATAATCAGTGTGCGTCTGTGCAAATCGTCTGCCAATCTCACCTTAACGCTTTTCACATCGTAAAAACTGCAGAATTGCTGTTTTATTGTAAAATTATTGGATTTGAAATGCATACCTATCGTATAGGCCTATGATGGAATAAAACATATTTTGTCACACAACATATGTTTACAAGATGATTTTTCACATTAAAACTGCAAGAAACTTTGTCTTTATATGTGTAAACTAGCTGATCTGAATTGTACACGGTTTTAACTGACTACTGAATTCCCGTACGTAGGACTGGCTAACACCTCGTCTATAATATTAAAACGAAACAGGGTTTTTTTATTTCACGATTCTGAATCAACCACTCGACGGATTTTCATGATTTTTTTGTTGAAAGAAAGATAATTTTGAGAACTAGGGAATGTCGAAGCCATAATTTTAGTTTAGGGTCCCAGTTATTTAGAAATTAAGTTTTAATTTTTGAAAAGTCTAGCAGCCGACGCTAAGATTCTAAACAAGCTTTTGGTGTAATAGTTTGTTTAACATAACAGCTGTAAACATTCAGCGTTTGTAACACAAATTCAGCATTTGGATAAAATTTAAAGACATACTAAGGGTTTACTTATTTATACTATGTGTAATGCTAATCATTGATACGTTAAATCCTTCGATAAGAGGATAACAGATTATTTAAATATACATAGGTAAAATACTAGGATGTTCAAAGGATTTTTTAAATAAATCTTTGCAATCTTCGGTTTGTTTTAGTGCAACATATTTTTCTTTTAACTAACAGCTGGTTAAATATAAAAATGCTCTGTAGAACTATGAGGTTATTTTATTTACTCTGATTTGTCATTGATTTTTAGGAAATAAGTAAGATTAGTAGATCACCGAGAAAAGTAACACCATCGATGTATACAAGTCGAGGCTCTGTACACGAGTCTTAAAAAAAGGATATGCAAATTATTATACTGCTAAACTTTTTTAGGAAAGGGTAGGAAAATCGATTTTTTACACGTTTTAATTGATCTAGGTTTGTTTACAATCAATGCTTTTGAATGATTAAACTTTGTTTGGATTAGGCCCGGAAATATTGATGTCATAAAGAAGGAGATAAAGAATCCTCAGGAATACAATTTTAAATTACCACCACAACCCAGACGGGTTTTATCCAAAGATATACAGATATGAATTAAATAGATTGAGCACAACGTCATCATTGACCTAGGATACTGCAATTAGCCTAACCATCCTTTTATGAAATCTAAAAAGTTGTTTGGCGTATGGCGTGTGTTTAGTTGTGGTTACGTTTGGAGGCGCTGAATATTTTATAGTTTAAATAAATGAATATGGGAATTACGGTGTACATTGATTCAATGAGGGTGGTTTAATTATTAAGAATATTAGAACTGATAACGGAATGGTCAATGGATAATAAACATAGACAATTAATTACGTCACTAGCTTTACTAGCGTGTTTTACGTTTTAAATTAATTGACCAGTTCTTTTGTTCAAATGAATATTATTTTATTTTTGACTCAGCTGTTTACCAAAACAAACTATATGTTGTTGTTTTTACTTTTCTTTGTTTACACTTATTTATTTAGCAATTGATACAGTGAAATTGATATAAAGGATATGTGTGGACGATTCGTTTAATGATGTCAGGACACCAGCGTTATAATTTTGTGTACTGTGAATTTTATTGGAAGTTTTTGTTTTATTTTAGGGAGTTTCTATTCAGACCTACTGGAAATTGTGTATAGTATGAGTAATTGTATTGTGTTGATATTGATTATGGAAGAGGCAGGTATGCGATGGAATTGTAAGGTGATATCGTTGATTAGGCCTATACACTTTCTCAATTGATAATTACTCTTTCTACTGTAGGCTGCTATAAAATTTGTCTTTATACGTGTAAGGTAGCTGTTCTGAATTATACACAGTTTTAACTGACTATTCCCGTACGTAGGACGGGCTAAAACCTCGTAATAATAATAATAAAATGCCTTTATTTAAAGCGGTCTTCAGTCAAAACTGGTTTTCAAGACAACTCAAGTCACAAACAATACATTTTATACAATAATTACAAACGGTACAAAAAGTAGGTGAAACTAAACTAGTTTTAATCTGGTCTTAAAAGAATTACATGACAGACTTTTCATATTTCTTGGGAGAGTATTGTATTCCTGGGGTCCAAAGTATGAGAACCCCTTTTTACCTGTCTCACGCCGCACTCTCGGCATTTCAAGCAAGCCGTCCTGCCTAGTACAGCGTTTCCTAACTGATGTTCGAGGGACAAGTTTCCTTTTCAAATAGGGAGGCAAATTAGAAGACAGTGTCCTGTGAACAATCATTTCTTCACTTGTGTTGTTGCATGTTTTTATCTGGTGTGTAGTTGACAGGTCGAAGGTCCCCGGACTGGCTGGGTCTGTTCTCGTTCGCTGTGCATGTCTTGGCCAAGTACCCTTATGAGACGGATGCTGTTGTCAGCCAGGGCTGGAGGTTCTTAGATGTGCATGTTCCTACTTTTGCTTCTTATGTGGTTGGTGAGTTGGAGAAATTTCACTTACCGATGTGCAACCCAATCATATTCCAACTATTGACAAATAGATAGTTGACAATCTGATATAATAAACTTGAATTTTTGAGCTTAAGAAAATTATAGTGTTGGCTGCAGTTGTGGCTAATTATTATTTCTGCTGTACTGTACCGACAAATAGTTAAACATTAACAACCTTTTGATTAAGTTTAAAGTAGTACAGTAATGGATATTACTCTACCGAAAGCTACCATATTCACCCAAACATAAAAATCCACTGACTAAAGAATTCAATTCGGCAAATAACTCTGATATTGAAGGCTCATCTAATTTAATGGTTTTTGTTGCTATTTATCCCTACACTTTATGAGAACAAGGACACATTATTTGAAATAACACAAATACAGTAATAACATGTAATCTTATTTAATTAAAAACTCATTATTTAGTGTCTATCTACTTAAACAAATTTCTTTCACTTTATCTGTTTAACCTATAATAGTATTTGTATTTTTTGTAAGGTAATGGAGTTGAGTTTTGCCTTAACTTCCGAGCTCTGTTTTACCTGGTGATCCCCGCAGTTCTTGTCAAGATGGCCGCCAGAGATAACTGGCGAGGGTGTTACACCGCACTGGTCCCTCACTGCCTCGCACTCTCCTGGTGGCAAATTGCTCTCACTGCATCTGAAGGTATTAGGGGTGCAAAATTGTGTTTTGTAGAATATACATTATAAAAATATTTTGAGCTAGCTAATACTAGATAATTTAATACTGTACTGTTAAGTCAGGTATTAGTCTTTCAAGTAGGGATGGACGAGATTGGATTTTTAGTTCTAGACGAGAAGGGACGGGATTTTTTATTTCTCAAAAAATTTTGAGATGAGATCGAGACGGGATTTTATTTCTCATACATAACGGGAAATGCACGTTCCACATTTTAACCTGATTTTGTAACATTTTTAAATACCTACTGATTTATGACGGACTGGTTAAATGCAAAAATAATAATAATAGACAAAAATATTTAAAATCTTTTATCAAAAAACATTATTAGAAAACATCAGTATAAAAAAAATCAAGTATTAATAAGGCCTGACTTATTAAAAATAACTCTTCGGCATAAAAAACATGGAGATATCAGTTAGTATATAGTTCAACTTTGAAAAATACTAGAGATGGACGAGATTGGATATTTAGTTCGAGACGAGACAAAATTTTTTATTTATCATAAAATTTCGAGACGAGATCAAGACGGGATTTTCCTTCTCATACATAATGGGAAATGCATGTTCGACATTAATACCTGATTTTGTAACATTGTTAGATGACTGTTTGGATACAAAAATAATAATAATAGGAAGAATATTTCAAATCTTTTATTAAAAAACATCAGCTTAAAAAAATGTATATTTACTACGCCTAACTTATTAAAAATGCTTACGATTAGGAAACATGGTGATATCAGTTAGGATAGAGTTAAACTTATCCTAAAATAAAATAAATCATAAAATAAAAGCAATACTAATTTGTATAAAATAGTTACTTGTTTTGGCTTTGTTTATAGTACTTAGTAAAACATGCCTCACACTGCTTACACTTAACAAAACTTCTCAAATGAAAAAATAATTGAAGTAATATTTTCATGTAAAGAATTAATTAAATAAGAACGCATTCGAAAAGTAAACACAACTACAACGCGCTCCTGTATTGCGGGTATTGCATTGGCTTTCAGCAGGCGTTTTCGTGTGGGAGGGGAGATTATACCAACAAACTATTTCAGGAATTCCATTTTGGGACGGATGAAAGATGAGGAAGAAACAAAAAGTGGTCACGTGTGCAAATGTAGTGGGCGAGACAATAAGGCTGAGTATTGTCGCGTCGTTGTTCCTTGTTTGTTTACTTTTTCAGATTCCCTATCAAACGCCCCTATCTGCTATCTCTCTCTCTCTCCCCCCTCTCTCTCTAACGATGTACTGATTAAACAGATTGTGGTTGACGACTTTTCTACTTATAAGTTTCACTGCGGTTATTTTAGTTCAATCAATCCCATAACCTTTCTATCGTTTATCAAAATAATTAATTAATCTGTTTTGTATTTTATTTCCTTTAAACCAACCCCTATTTACCATCTGTATTTTATGGAATAAAATGTTTGTTTAGGTATAAAGTTTGACTGGCCACACAATTTTGTACCTATTTTATTTTGTATAAATAAAATAGGTTATTTATCACAGTTACTTTGATGATTATATATATATAATGAATGCTTTTTATTATCAAAATAAGTAATGAATTATTAATTGTTGATAATACATGGGTCATTGAATACCATAATGTCATGTAGTTTCCTATTTGTAACTTGCAAATAATAATAATTGATTTTTAATTCTGGAAAATGAAAAATAGTGAACGCATTCATAAACCTGTTGTCAAAACAGCAATGCGGTGTAAGGGTTTATTGTTTCAGAGGCTAGGGTGTTTCGAGGACAAAGTGTTGGGCCTCCTGGCTTAGGTCGGAGGGGGAGGAAACTGGTTTTGGCTATTTATTGATTAGTTCACCGACCCTTCTAGACAACAAAAAACTGAGTGACAGTGTTAAATCATCGTGTTCTGTATTTCATTTCTCGTTTACTTTGTGTGTTATTCTATTAATTTTAGTGATTTGGGCTATTCCCTCCTGGTCCCTTGCAAATTGTATTATCAATGCTAAATAATTGTGGTCAATTCAAATTATATTTTTTATTATTCAAATCTCCTACACAAAAAGACAAAAGTCAAACCAGGCAAGGAAAAAACCTGCTATTGTAATCCCCTTACCCAGCCATATGGGAAGTGGTCTAGTCTAGATATAGCTCAAAGGTCTCACCCTTCCCTTCCCCCCCCCCCAACCCCCTACTCAATGTTGCTATTCCGCTCATTTCGAGGTCATTGCACAACCCCTCCATCTCTTCTATTGTTTTGCCTTTATAGTGTTTCTATTCTGACTTTTATAAACATAAATTTATTGCTTATGTAACAGTTCAGTAGTGGAATTTTCTATTGTGAAACAGTAGGCCTACTTTAAAACAAAATCACTACCGATCATGTCATTCTATTCTGTGTCAAGTCAGTAGTGTATAACACTACCAGTCAGTCCGGCGACTGCTTTGAGTTGACCTATTCTGTTGTGACAGCTATAAAAATAGGTTAGGACAACTACCTCTTGCTTTTTTCTATATTTGTAATATTTGTAAAAAAATCATAATTGTAAAATTCAATATTTGTTAAAATGTAACTTATGTTTACATAAAATTATGGATAATTTGTATTACTGTAGATTCTACAGTAATACAAATTATCCATAATTTTATGTAAACATAAGTTACATTTTAACAAATATTGATTTTTTACAATTTTTAACCAAACTGGCGGAGTTCAAAGATAAGCTCGAGTTTCAAGGCCTACTCTACTCGAACTCGAAATCTCGATTACTCGCCCGTTTTGTGTTAATAGTATAAACAAATCAGATCCATTAAAACCAGATCCAGCCCAAGATACGATTTTTTGTGGATCCGATCGGGCGTCGGTTCTAGCTCAGATCCGGCGGATCCGGTAGTCCGATATCCGGATCCAACCATCACTAATAAAACCCAAACTAATTGAAAGGCAAAATATCAATAATTCTTTTAGCCTGTATCTAATTTGTTTGCCTAAGAATTCTACAATGTTATGTTATGTGATTTCTCTTGTACTGTCAAATATTTCATCAGCTGTTTAATTTACAGTAGACTCCCTCTAGTTCGGCCACCTCGGGACCGGACTACGAAACGGCCGGACTAACCGGATGTAGTGCATTTTACATACCGGTAATCAAAATACAAATAAATAGTATTGCGCAATCGTGATATGGCAAGTCATTAACCTTGGTTCAGTAATAAAAACTGTAACATTTAAAATCACGCTTACTCAAGCAAAACAAAAATTACACAACACTGTACGTACAGCAATAAATCACGTAAAGAACAGAGCAATAGAAAGTCTAGTACTGCTACTGCTACCGTAGTCAGCATAGGCTACTACTACATGTTGTTTCAGAACATAAGAATGTCAATAAAAACATTAGATAACTCATAAAACAGCATAAAATCATAGTACTTAGTCTTAAAGATAATAACGACAGTCGTGAAATAGGATAAAGATAACAATGGATGACGTAAAACACCGCTTATTCTTTCTTCTTTGTTCTTCTATTCTTTCTTTGGTTTCTCTTCATCCACACATTCAACAAGTTGCCATGGTTACTAATCACCCAATCACAAACTGATGTGAGGTAGCATGCGCACAGCAGACATCAGTTATGTAAAGAGCAGGTGATTGTCAGTGCAAGCAGATAGCTTGTCTTGACCTTGAAGCTAACGATGGCTATTTCTTTGTTTTGCTTTAATTTATTTTTGTCAAATAAACAGTGGTGTTTCAAAAACAATAATGGGGGAACCCACCGCATAAAAAAATGGTCCGAAATATCTAATTATAAACTGCATTTCAACATATTAGACTGAAGAAAAACTATTTATAAAATGTTCTTGGTATTTTTGAGGTTATGTAACATAGTTTTACATAGGTAATATGCAACAATTCACCCATAGAAGAACCCGTCAACTAAACTGACATGAATTGTTTACTTCTATGGCCGGAAACTAAACATTCAAGTTGAATCCTGTCGAAGGTCATTCGCCCGTGACGATGTGACTTGTCCGCCTTAGACCGCGCCGGACCATCCGGCATCCAACCAAAGCCGAACTAGAGGGAGTCTACTGTAAGACTGTTTTGTTTATGTATGTAATGTTTACAGTTTTGTGTTAATTCTCTAGTTTAAAATGTAGCAGATTTTTAAGTTGAATAAAACCATATAAATTTGGTTTCTAAACATATCTTTTCATAACAATTTATTCAACTTAAACTTTTAATTATAGTATTACAAGTTCTATTCTATCTTTTCTATTCAAGTTTATTCCAAGAAATCTAAATGGATAAATACTTCAAGCCTGAGCGCCTATCTTTGGACCCTAATGACCCCCATTCTGATCGTTAGTGGAAACATTGGAAAACCACTTTCGAGAATTTCATGGAAGAAATATGTGCTGCAGAAGATGATCAACTAAAACTTCTAACTAATTTTGTGGACTACAAGATACATGAAATAATCTCAGAGGTAGATTCTTATACCGAAGCTATATCTATTCTTGACAAACTTTTTATAAAGCCTACTAATGAGGTATATTCTCGTCATCAACTGGCCACTAGAAGACAGGAATCTGGAGAAAATATTGATCAGTATCTTCGAAAACTCAAAGAACTTAGTAAAGCATGCAACTTTAAATCTGTCACTACTAATGAAAATCGTAATGAGTACATAAGAGACGCTTTCATTTGAGGATTAATATCACAGTCCATTCGACAAAGACTTCTTGAAAATCTAACTTTGACTCTTGAAGAAGCTTATAATCAAGCCATTACCTTGGAATCAGCTGAAAAGACAGCAGTTTCATATATTTCAAGCCCTTGTAACTATAGGTATATCTCAGCCAACTCCTAAAAATGTTGATGTTACTAATGCCAATGTTTCTCAGGCAGCTTCTGATCCGTATTCACACCAATTATCCTCGTTAAGAAGAGAAAAATGTTTCTTGTGTGGACGGTCACGACACTCT